TAACACGTGATATTTTCTTTATTTAGTTTTAATAAGAGTACTATTACGTAAAATGTGCAGACATGATATTTTTTTATAATTATTAACACGTCATATATTCTTTATTTAGTTTTAAGAGTATCATTACATGTGCCATCATATGATCATAAAATGTGCCAAAGATATCATATTTTTATTTGTGATAACAAGGTACAAAAGTGATATTTCTTTAATTTTAATGTACTTGTGGATATCAGAATATATGTGATAAATATTTCTTTTGTTATTCCATTAACGTAAAACATTTATTTCGTACAATATGTTACATACAATACATGTAATATTAATATATTTTTTAATAAATATGGTAAAATAAAAAAAAGAATTTTTATTTTTTTTATGTACTGCAAATTTAAAAGACAAAATACGAATATAAAAAGACAAAATACAAATATAAATATAATTATAAAATTATTTTGTCTTTTATATACATTTAAAAAATATTTGACAAAGAATACATAATAGCATTTCTTTTCTCAATGCCCTCGTTTTGTGCATTAGTGTCTGCAGTTCTTAATTGTTCTTGTATAACGTGAGATTCATTTATAATAATAGGAGTTTCAATTATATCATTATTTAATATACAAATATTATGTAAAATGCAGCAGGCAATTATGTATTTTGGAATCAAATCCGTCCTTTGCATAGGTAGAGTATCTAAGATACTACGAAAACGACCTTTCAATAAACCTAAAAATCGCTCAACAATCATTCTCGCAGAAGATAAGCGTTTATTAAAATTTATTTGCCTTTCAGATAAATGACCATTATCTTTAAACGGTACCATTATATACTTTGAAATACTATAAGCTGCATCTCCCAGTAAATGACTATCATTAGGAAAATTATCATCTGTACACAAGGTTTCAAAGTTGGACAATCGAAAAACACGATTGTCATGTACAGACCCAACCTGTCCACCATAACAGTGTAAAAATTTTAAATTTTCATCACAAATAACCTAAACATAATATGAATTATTAATATTAATATTAATTCTAAAACTGAATAGTTAAAAAATCAAGTAATATACTAAAACTAAATATCTATAAAAATATTAATAGTTAAATTTTTAGTATTATAAATTAGTATTTAAATATTTTTAATATGTGCATATCTTAATATTCATATAGCATATAGTATTGAATGCATGACTTATGTATAATTAATCAAAATATTTATATAAGTATATAAGAAATATTATACAATAATATTTTTACATATATTTTTAAATATAAATTAAAATTGTTTAAAAAGCTCGATAAATAAGAATAACTTACTTGCAACTGAATAGAATGATATCCTTTTCTATTAATATACGATTCACCATGATCTTTCGGTGCAATAATTTTTATATGAGTGCCATCTATTGCACCTATGACACCTGGAAACCCGTAATTTTGTTTTATTTTTTCCATTGTTTGCTCTGCCTCTTCCATCGTTGGCCAACGAATAAATTGTGATACATTTTCATACAAAGCGTTTACTACTCTTTGCACAATTCGCCACGCTGTTGCTTTATCAACATCAAATCTATCGGAAACACATCTAAACAAACAATTTGTTAAATATTTCCAATATAAATTTACACAATTATTATCATTTAGATATTGTTTGTACCTAAAAGAATTTGGTGTAGCCATCATCCAAATAGCTAAGAGTAATTGTTTTTCCGGTACTATTGAATGCCTGCCAAATTTGGTTTGCCTACATAATTTTGGATGTAATAGTTCTAATAAAATATTGAAGGTATTCCGTTTCATTCTGAAATAATAAAATGTATTATAATATTATAGCTTTCTATTATATTACCAGTAATTTCTAGTTTAAATTTGAATTAATATTTAATGACATAAAAATTATACTATTAACTAAAATAGCACAAGAACCTTTGATTTATTAACAATATGCTTTTCGTTGTAATTTTTTTATGTTTAACGTTAGAATTATTTTTACATTATTTCTTATTTACTTACCGAAAATGCATTTAAAATTCTTCATCTGTATATAACGGTACTACATGTTCAACATAATTTTTGCTGCGTGCACGTGTACGTTTCTCATTAATTTTGGCTAATAATAATAATAATTCGTTTTCTTCATCTTCTGAAGATTCGCTATCAGAAGATTCTACCAAATGCTTCAATACTTCTGTCATTATAACAGCTTTCTCACTCATTATTATTGTTTGGCACTTGTAGGTTAATCTACACACAGTACTGCGATATCCGTTCCGTTATTATAACGTTGCAACGTCATAAAAGTAACACAAGTAATTTTGGAACGATCTTGCAGCACTGCTTTATGACGTCACACTATCAGTACTGGCAGTAAATAACAGAACGCAGCCTGTATTGCACACAGCGCATTGCACACACGACCGTATTGCTCACAGC